TTAACCGAATTTTCACCTTAATTTTTCATCGTATAAGAATTATGCATATACTATAATCTATATTGAATATGTCGATTGCAATGATAATGGATTACCAATTTATTTTTTGTATGAAGAAAAAACTATATGTGTAGTTTTTTTTTCTTTTTATTGACATTGACATTGTCTCTAGTCATACAATTGGCAAGTTTGATATGTTAGACTTATTGGGAAGCATCTGTTAGAATATGTTAAGCTAAACTGATACTATTTTGATAGAATTATAATAACATGTTTATACTTGTGTTGAAATATTTTGTTTAAAGTAAAATAGATAATATTCTGTTAGAATTTTTTAAGGAATTGAAGTTTAAGCAACAAACGGAAATGAAATATTCTTTTAGAATTGAAGTTATATGTTTAGTTATGTTATTTTGGTGTATTCAAACTTGCAAATTCTTTCAGAATGAGAAACACATATTCTTTAGAATGAGGTTAGTAACACTCATTGATTTGATGCCTATTATTCTGACAAACATGGTAAATGACAGTGTAATAATTGATTAAAAACCTTTCAGCAAAGCATCATGAAGCAATGAATAGATTCTATGAGCATTCTTTCAAGAGCATTCTCATAGAATATCATTGTTGTAAGAATGGTTTGCTAAATTTTACTATTTTTTTATTGTACAAAAATTTCTAGATTGTTAAGTTGCAAATTGTTGGTTTGTTAAGTTTTATCATCTAGAAATACGATTGCAAGTTGCAAGTAACAAGTTTTTAATTCTTTATAGTGTCAATTAAACTAGCTAAAATGTATTCTATGTATTCTGTTAGAATATATTCTATATATTCTGCTAGAATGTATTCTATGTATTCTGTCAGAATATATAAAGTGATAACATGTTCTTAACCATTCTTAGTTTTTGTTCTATTTGTGATAGGATGGTTGGAAGAATGTGTTAAAGACCTGATAGAAATAACTTGAAGAATGCATAATAGATTGATCACTCTCAAAGTTAAAGAATGTTGTTATTTTTTAAGAATTTTATTCATTTTTGTTGATATTCTTTTAGAATATGTATAATTATATTAAAATATATAAGACTATTAGTTTGTAAGAATATGTATGTATTTGTATTTAAGTTCGGATATATAAAAACATATTAGAATGTTGCTATTCTTCAACCGGAGGTTCAAGAATCTGTGATTATACAATAATATTCTAATAGAATAAAATTATGAAAGAACGTCATTATAACAAAAAACATTCTGACGGAATAAAATCGGTTATTTTTACAAATTACGTTAGAATTAAAATTGAATTAATTTAAAAATTCAGATTTTTAAAATTAGGAGAATTAAGTATCCCTAAAAATCCGAAATTTCCTTTTTAAAATATAGTTAATTGTCCAAAGTACCTTTATGTTGAAATTTGTATGATTATATGGTGTATGTTACCTTATTGTAATATCATAGACTCTCAAATCTTGAACTTACATTCTATTCCATCCGGTGGTCCAGATCTATGCATTCTGGCACACAATAGTTAGTAAAAACAAAATAACCAAAGCATATATATATATATATATATATATATATATATATATATATATATATATATATATATATATATATATAAAGTGAGATTATTTAAAATGGAGCTTCTAAGATTGATTTTAATTTTATAGCTTTTAGATTTCCTAGAAAAATATCAAAGGTGACATTGCTATGTACGATTGACATATAATAACGGTTGGCGATTAACATTTACTTGAAATTTTTATTTTCTCTTTCGTTTGTTCATTTAAGTTCATGATCATATATGGCATTTTATGTTTTTTTATAACTTTGTTCATTTATAATGGTTTATGCTTATTAATTTAGCACCTTAGCAACATAAACAAATGAACATGAGAACAAGGTAAATTGTCAAAGGAACGAACATAAATAAGAAAATTTGCCCGTTTGTCGGTTCGTATTCATTCGGTCAACTTATACGAACAAATATTAAAAAACATTTTCATGTTCATTTTGAATTTATATTTCAAATAGGAGGTGACTTGCATGTTATTCTAAAATGTGTCGCACATCAAATGCTTTATCATTATAAATGTTCCTCAACGCCATATATTGTGATTATATGTTGCATGAGTCCTTATGTGCTCGTGTCTTATTTGTAATTGTGTTTATAAGTCTTGTATTAGAAGTTGTATATGTTGGTGAGCACTAATTATATATATCTTACGCATCCGCATGCTCTAGACTCTAGAGCATGCAAGTCTATGCTTGGGAGATCCACCATACATGGATATGGAGCGCGTTGATATGGATTCATCATTCATGTTACGTCGATAAGTATATAGCTGGTTTATTGACTTTGTATGTTTGTGAAAATTTTGTTGTTTATCTATTCAAAAGATTCCATTATAAGTCCTCACTTATTTGGTCAAGGGTCCACCACTAAGGCTCATTGTAATTTTACGTGAATGGAAATGTACCATTTACCACTATGAAAATGTATTCCTTACAGATGCCTTATCAGGCAACAATCTCTGGTATCGTGGCTAGATACAGATGTAACCACTTAAATATCATGAAGGACAATCAGTTTATTGGTTGTGAAGTGACTCTACAGGAGACATGTACATGCATATATGATATTCCCACCCACATGTAAATCAAACAGATGCATTTATAAATGTACGGATTTAAACTATTACCATCTAAAGTCTAAAAATGAATTTTATTTCTTCTTAAGTTAACCATAATCAAAAACTTTCACGCTTAAGTTCATCAGTTCATCAACATAGGTTAAAACCCAGGAAATATTTACTAGTTCCAAGACCTTTTCACCTAATATTTGGAAAAAGTCAATGTTCAAAATAAATTATTATTCATGTTTCATCTTCACACTGTAAACCAGCTTTGATGTTCTGCAGTGTGTTTGAAATAAGTGTATCAACCGACTCCACAGATTCCACACTTAACTTTCCACCTGTAGAGTCGTCAGTTGTAAGGATTTGAAATCCAACGGTTAGCAACGACCCACCTTCTTCCAAACTTTGATCCTGTCCCTTTGATCTGATCAGTAAAGGCCTCGTTTCTACCCCATCAGGAAGAATAGCAAAACCAGAAGGTAATATAGCAATGTTGCTAGAGTCACAGCCACCCATCACAGACTGCATGGTTGTCACACACACTGGCGCACACACTACCATGGATTCGTACGTGTTTGTCGAAGTGTCCTGGATCATCCACATGTTTTCCTTCGACTTCATTGTCTGGATCATAAAAACAAAATATTAAATATATGATGGAATTTAAAATTTTTTTTTTTAAAAAAAAAAAAGAAAAAAAAAATCTTACATGGATAGAAACGCTATTTCCTCGATCTTGTCCTTTTGATAAGTTGGCTATAGATTGGACTGGACCACCATTTGACATTATATCCCACTGAAATATTAGGCGATGATATTATATTATATAGTGGCTTATATGTAATTATGTATATTGCTCATAAAACTAATATGATTTACCTCATTTCTACGAGTTTCATCTCGTAGGAAATCAAAAAGAACAGTGTGAGAAACAGGTAACCAAATAGAGGACACTGCACATAGTATCACCCCTAAAGGTTCACCAGGATCATTTAAATTCTTCCTGTAAGCCACGCGTATGTCATCTCCAGTTTTACTTGGAATTTTTTTCCATGTGTGATAGCTCGACCCTCCTAGTGCTCTACTAAAACTCCACGTCATTCTCTCTGCCAATTTGAAAATACTTTTCCTCCCCGCCATTGTAGCAATACCTATTTCAATACATAGTCGTATTCCCGATAATTTTTATAAAAAAGATAACCAAAAAGAAGTATAAAGAGGTTTAAATTTAAATACCAGTAGAATCTTTAGTAGGAACGTTAGTTGCAAGGAAGAACACAAAACGCTCGCATTTTTGCTGCAATGTGGCCATCCAATGCCTTGCTCCAAAAGCTACACCACTATTGATGATTCCTCTATACATAGAATGAGCTACGCTTTTTTGGCATTCCAAATGCTCTATCCATGTCACCTGAAAAAACATGTTTTATATATAAATTTTAAGAAAAGAATATTGGCTTTTTGGGGTGAGGGGTGAGGGGCTTTACCTTACAGTGACCATTTGAATTGTCCTCAATGATGCAACCAGACGGACGTTTTCTACATCTAGAAAGAGACACATCGATGTTTTTTTCTATGTTGTCAACTGAAATATCTACAATTGCCCATTTATTAGCATTCAACTGCTTGGAGTATCTCACAAAATATACTTCTCGTGTTGCCACCAAAGGAGTTAGCATTTGCAACTCTACAAACATCTGTAGTCAATGTGATAAGTTAACCAATTGTGGTCCAAATTTATGTTATAAAAGATAATACTTAAGTATACCATTATTTGAAGTATGTTACTCACCAATTGAACAGTGCCATTTCTATTAGCACCCTCCCCATTGCAGATCACATCAAAGGGTAGCTGCTTTTGAAATCATGCATGGAAACATCTCTTCATATTGTTCCTACAATAACAAATCCACATTACACAGTGAGTGACAGTACTGACAGTGACAGTGACAGTGACAGTGTTTTATAAATGCAATGTACCACATCCATGAAACTTCGAACTAGCTGTGGAAGATCTGCAAAGACAATGCCACAATCTCTAGAAGCTTCAATGTGTCTCTTATGTTGAAATTTGCTTAAATTCTGAACATGAAACTCCTTCAAGTATTCATCATAGTTAAGTATTTCTCGACCTGTCTCAAAACTCCGTATCCACAGTGGGTCCGCAGCACTAGCCATCTTTACAAGCTCTTCCACAGCCAAATTAACAATCTCCATTATTCTACAAGTTTCAACACCAAACACACCACTACACAAATCCAATGAGCTTCTGTTTTCATGGTCATTTCCCGTAGAACATGAGTTTGTAGGTGATGTTCCCTTTGGATATTTCCCAATTGATGTCCTCAGCTTCTCAATCTAGATATAACACCAGTTTATTAATAAACTTTGAGGTGAATAGATTTAGTAGAAGTATTTACTATTTATGAATAAAGAACTAAAAAAACCTCAGTTTTGAGTTTAGAATTTTCGATGCGAAGCTGTTGTTCATCGGTGTAATTGGTGGCTTCCTTGCTAGAGCTACCAAATCCACAGTTAGGACAAGTACCCTTTTTGATAGTGTCCCTTAATAACCTATTCTCATCGCGTAGTTTATCCATTTCTGATTTTAACAATGAATTTTCATGGCGCTCCTGTATAGCCTGCAATAGCAACATAGTTTCATAGTCACTTTTTGTGTAACCTCAATATATATGACAAAAAAATTTTTTGTTTGTATCATAAATGTAACTAAAGATGGGCAAAAGATTCCAAAACCGAAACTGGTTCTCAACCCGAAACCGGTCCTAAAACCGGTCTGGTTAAAGGACCGGTTTAAAACCCGTTTTAAACCGGTCCTATTTTTGAAACCAGTTTCGGTCTTCAGAATCTCTTTTGGTCAGACTTGTTGGAATACTAAGTTTTTTTTTTTTGGGAAAGAGTGTTGGAATACTAAGTAATGTTTAAAGTTTGTAATTTTAAGGTATATAAAGACAGAGAGATATTTAGTTAAAGGTTTATTTTTTAAAATATATTGTGATGCTAATTACTAAGTGATTATATAAATAATGTTCAACAAAAATGAATAAAATTTATCTTTTTTTGACATAAAAATCCGATGAAAAACAATTCACACTAACTAAAAGTTAATGAAAAAAACTAGACTAAACAATTATAAAAATTCCATAAAGAAAATATGAAAAACCTTGATTTGGGTACGACGATTTTGAAACCAGAACTTGACTTGTCTAGGATGAAGCCCTAACCGCTTGCTCAATTGTTGTCTTTGCTTTTCATCCGGGTGTGGTGACTCCTTAAATAGTCTGTAATTGGAAGGTCAACATTGATTTATAACACAAAATCATGCATTTTATATTTGAAGGAAGAACTTCTCATCATATTTGTATGCCAATTTGTTACTTCAAATTGTGATAAATATTTATGTGTATAATTGCTACATGTTCAATCTAACAAAATTGTTCTTGAAGAATCAATATCAATAACTAACTTTACTTTACTTCTTCAGGGATTAGAATCACTTAATTTTTATTGCTACTACATAAAAATATGTAGAGATTATTTATATTTATTCTTATTTGCAAACTTTTTAAGGTTACATAGATAAATGATTTGGATGTGTGATATGTTTTTGGAAGCGTAAATTGGTGTATAGGGACAAGACATATATAGAAAGTGACTTACCACTCCTCTTAAGCTATTTGACCAACAGGCAACAATAATGAACTTTTTTAATAATTCTGAATAAGTTGAGTCATACCACAAACTCAAAGGACCACATTTGTCATTAAACAAAAAGACTTTGTATATTTATATTTGTATTTATATACACATGTGACAATATTGTGCCAAGCTTTACCACATCACCTTTAAAATATGGGGACACACATGCTTGTGGTTAGTTGCTGCCTAGCCTTTCGTGACCTTTAGTGATACATTAATGTTAAATTATTTAAGAGAAAGGAAATAGCTTTACATGATGACCTTTATATTTTATTTTATTTTATTTTATTTTATTTTATTTAACAATAGCTTTACCTTTTTTTGGTGTTTCTTCAAGCTGAATTAGTGATCCTATTCAATGTATTATCACCTTACCCAACTACCTCCATTTTGTTGCAAAGATTCTCTGTGGGCTATTTTGATGTAATGTCTACCTCTCACTCATTATCTACCGAGTCCCTCGAACCAACTGAGTCTGTGTTCTTGATAAAACCGAGTCACAAGTTACCAAATAATCAGCTATCGAATGCTTATTGCTTCCCCTCCTTTTTCTGGTAAAATTATATGACCTTTGGAAAACTATGGGTCTGATAATGTAAGATTCTTTTGAATTTGTATCTCAAAACATAGAACCGGTGTAAACTTGATTCGTAATGTTAACAATCGTGTTTATGAACCATGCATCAAATTGCACCATTAATTTAGACGGAAGAATATTCTACGCAATCAGATAATAAGATCTAGACGATTTTGTGATAGTGCAAGTGCGTTTGTGTAAAAATTCACAGGTAAACGAAATCAATCTCGGATCAACTTCAATCTGATCAATTGCATGTTGAATTATGTGCGTGTTTGTGTCTGGCGTGATGATTTTAGGGGTAATAATTGAAAAGCATGTGTAAGAGGAGAAATTAATAACTGACGTACGCTTCCATTTCACGAATTTGTTCGGCGGTGTGACGGTGGTACTTTTTTCTCTTCTTACTTTTGTTCTTATTATTATCGTCGTCTCCGTCGTCGACGTCAGGATCGGCATCGAATTCATCATCCGATCGTGATCTCGCCGGTCCAGAATACTCACTGCTGATCTCCGTCACCGTCGTATTAGCACCGACGTCATCTGCTCGACCATCCGCCGCCTCTTTTATATCACGAAAAATCCCCTATCAAAACACCAAAATCAAACCACAGAACAAAAAAAACTAACGAAAATTAAAGCATACAGGAGATAAATTATGACTTACGAGAGTGAGAGCGAGAGATGTAGATGGAAAAAGGTCTTTGGTAGAAGTCGGTGGATTATTTTCATTCGAAGACGACATGACCATGGCAGTATTTGATTTTGCTCTTTTTTTGTTTTCTGCTTCTGCTATGAATTGGTCATGGCGCTGATGATGGTAAGTCTGCTACTGCTTCTACTCAATTGTCTGAACTGTTACTATGGAGGTGGGGTCGGGGGTTGAAGAAAACAAAAGGAGGAAATGAAGTCGCAACGTTTTCTTTGCTTTTCGTCTGTGTGTGGGACTGTGACGCTGTGAGAGAGAGAGAGAGAGAGAGAGAGAGAGAGAGAGAAAAGCCACGCAGAAAACGCAATAGCGGGGATTGGTGGGGGTGGGGTTGGGGGAGGGGGTATGGGTCGTGGAGGAAGTGAGTGGGGGCTGGTAGGGGTTGACCGTTAGATATTGTTGGACCAGTAGCCTCCTCCTTTAGTTTCCAACTATCTCGTTTCCTTTTGTGGAATTAGCCAAGGGGGGTTAACTCTGGAAGGTGATGTGTTTAATGGGGTTAACTCTAAATTAATGTGTTATATTAATATGAAATACTAAAGAGAAATTTTCAAATATAATTAAAACATACAATCTAGAGCTAAAAAAATATATAAAAGAGACTTTTTTTTAAATAATAATAATAATAATAATAATGTGTTTAAAGGGTTTTCTATGACTCATGTTAGCGATCGAAATTTAATAATATTTTCGTAAGTTAATATCAGTGTGCAGTAAAGTACATGAGTCTGCAGCACCCTCTCTACGGACTCGGGTACCATACTACGAAATAATCTATATAACTTTCGATAAATCAAATTTTTATCCTAGAAAATTAATAGTGTATTTGGTTAAAAAAAACTTAAAAAGGAAGTTGACATACTGCACACTTGCATACGTACTACTCTAACACTATGTTCAGTTCTCTATATAAACTATGCAAAATCAAGCAAATGACATTCTATGGTTCTGGAAGTTCTTCGATTAAATCCAACAAATGGCAAAATGTGATTGTGGAAGTTTAGCGATTCTAAGGACATCAAGGACTAGCAATAACCGGAGAGAAAATTTTATGTTTGTCCAAAAATGATATATTGTTTTTTGTTGTCTCTTTTCTTCCGGTTAACCTTAAACAATTGTTTCTTAATTTCAAAGGGACCACATTGTGGGTTTATTTGTTGGATGAATGATCTTGAAAAGTGAAATATATAGGAACTTGAAGATATCATTACTTAGTAATTGGGTTTTGTTCTTGGCTGTAATTATTTTACAAGTTGCAATCTTTAGTTCACTTGTATTTTTACATGTTGGGATCATGTTAGTTTTCTATGTATTCAGAGTGCGTCGGAAACTAACATTTTTATATAATACTAGTTGAACTGATAAAACGAGGAAAATGCTCTAAGTTAAATGACTATAAAGTAAGTATGCAAGTTATAACTTAACAACTGATATAAAGAACAATAATGAAAGACCATAAGAGTAAATAAATGAACATTGTAATGAACACAGAACAATCTTATATTGAGATAGATTGTCTAGCAAGATTGCTGAAAAGGTGTAAGGAGAACCACAACCCGGTTCCCCTTGTATAGACACGATCCAAGGGAATAAAAGGTAAATACCTACTGCCAAAAGATAATGAAATAACTAACTAATCTAGTCATTAACTAGAAATCTTTACAACCCAACATACATTAACTTATATTACAAAAAAGAAAACATAGAAGTCAAAATCTTCTGATCTTCACACCTCATTCGGAACAGACACCTTCCAGATAATATTTGCCTTCAGATATGACAACCTTCAGTCAACAACTTATTGTTGATCTTCTGCTGACGGTCATTTTTGGGTTCAACAGTATCCCCCTAAGTGACCGTAGCTATTTTTTAGTTAAAGTTCTAAGGTGTTGTTTAGGAAGTCAACTACACTTCTAAAAAATCTTCGCACAAAAAACATCCATTGAATCTGCTTAACAACTTCCATCTTGATGTCAACATTGGCTTTAGGGGTTTCAAGGGAAACTTTCATGAGGCTCTTCAGAAATGAGTTTGAGCACTGATGTTTCTGAATCAAACATAAGATTTGTTTTCTTCTAAGCCATCAATCCAGTAGATGATTCCTAGTTCTGGAGTTTTTGTGATCTCGAAATCGATTTTCAATTCCTTCAAGACTTGAGTCCATATCTTCAAAGTGAGCCAAAGGAATTAGAGAGTTTATCTCAAAATCAATTGCAACTATCTCAATAATTTTTCTTTGGAGATAGGTTCTGATTGGAATGAGGGTTGCTTTGGTTGTTTATTTTGAGGGGATCCTTTGATTCGATTCCTTGACAATACATAAGAGATCAACAGGGTTTGCGATGGGGAAGTCTGCTTCAGTGAGATAGTTGAAGCCTTTGAAGCATTTGTTCTCTGAAGATCATAGGAGTAATATGAAGCTCCTTTGAATGAACGAGACTTGAAGCCTTTGAATTTAATTGTGACTCTTTTGGACCATCCCAAGCCATAGATTTTTTTCTGATGCTTGGAGTAAAAATTCTCCAATATTTGTCTTTATTCGTACAGAGGGTTTCTCCTATGCTTGAAGGTTTTCTATAGGAGGGAAGATTGGAAAGTATTGCATGTTTGTTGAGATAGGAAGATCCCATTCAAACTCAACATTGGAAGGGGCATCATAAGTTTTGTGAGGAGCAATATCCTTGTCTTTAATTATCCGAATGAAGGACTTCCATGGACGAAATAGAGGATTCACATCAATTTCTTCTGAAAGACAGGGAGGAACAACTCTCTCTTTATCATATTGTGCTTTTAGAAGAGTTCCGTTCAGACAATCTTAGTGTTGTTGTTCTAACTTCAGTTGCCTTCTTGTTTCGTCATTATCTTTAAAATTTGGCTATGTCTAAGGATTAACTTCTTCTGTAGTAACCTTTGTCTTGTTGAGGTCTCTGGGAGGACTAGAAGCTTTAGGAGGAGACTTTGGCGGTGACTTCGGTGGGCTGGGAATTTTAGGAGATATGGGAGGAGTTGGAGCTTTCTTTGATGGATTTTCATCATCGGATAAATTTTGAATTACTTCTCCTTCTAGTATCTTCTTATCATCATCCTTCGAGGAGTTGTGGGTTTCTTCTCCCCTTTTCATGAAGGACGGCCCAACCTCATTCACGAACCCATACTTCAAATCATCAAGCTTGGAGATGACTTTAAGAAACAAATGAGTGATATTTTTGGAGAGGGAATCGACACCAGTGTTAATCTCAGCGGTGTCAAGAAAAAGGCCAATCTTCTACACATACTCATTTAGCTTCTATGATTCTTGATGAGGCTAATTAGTCAGTATTTGCACATTATTTGAGAGTTTGGAACAGACATTTTTCATGACCAGAGTATTGTTTGCGATAGTGAAGAAGATCCTGGTGAAGCTGTTCAACTTCATCAAATGTTGTTTGCCCAGAGTTTTAAAGAAGGTTTCAAGTGATTCTTTAACTGAAGTTTTGTGATCCGAAATCTCCTTGGAATATTGTTGACGATAGAAGTGATGGAAGCTTGAAAGTCTTCAAGACGTTTGAGGTAAGATTCCACTTGAAGAGTAGATTCAGAAAGAACCTTATGAAGAGATTTTTCAAGATATTCAGAGGTGATTAATGGAGCTTCTGGAGCAATCGGAGCCAAAGGCTGCTTGGCTAGCTGGTCAAAGATTAGATATACTTTTGCTTCAATAATCTTTAGATTTGATGAGGAGTATCTTGATCTAGCTATAGACTTATGCTCTTTGGATGGTCGATTCATGGAGTCTAATGATGAATCTAATGGTTATGTGGGAGGCTTCTGAGATGTAGCTGTATTCGATGAAGGTTGGGGCTTGACATAAATGGTGGGCATGAATCTGATGGATTCAAAAACATAACCATCAGAGTCATTCCCAAAAGCATTATCTCTTGAGATAAGCTTTATTCCAATGAGAGTCTTGGTAGAAGTTTTCAAGGTAGTAGAAGTATTCGGTGATGAGTGAGGAGCTTTTGTGGCCTGTTTCTTTAGAAGCTATTCATTTTGAGCTTTGATCCTTGCAATTTCTACTTCTCCCCATTTCTTTTCTTCGACAATTGTTCTTTCTACAACCTTGAGTTCTTTTCTTTCTTTTTCTCTCTTATCCATTAATTCACTTAGAGCTTTCCTCTGAAGTGTAGCAATGTGTTATGCAGCTTGTTTATCTTTTTCCTCTTTTTATTTTAACTCCTTCTCCCTTCTAATTTTTGCAGCAATGGATCTAGACATGTCCGAAGAACCTGATAAATTAGGAGATTTTACATGTTTGGATGGATCAAGGGAAGTTTTTCATGTCAAAATATATTGATTAGAGTAAGACACATACACACACACATAAACCAGTCGTTCTGAAGAACTCTGTTCAAGCATAGATAAATATCGAGGTATCTTTCTAGCCACACTTATATGATGGTGTTTATGTTAGTCCTGAAAGGATTTCCTATGGATATATATATATATATATATATATATATATATATATATATATATATATAATATATATATAGTTTTGGTAGCATAAGTTGTATCCGAAGCAGAGGTTTCAAAAGTGCAGTGTGTGTAGAAATGAGTAAGATATTTTCTTATGATAACAAAATTTTTTACCTAAAGGAATGTCCATTTGGGGATAAGTGGACAAAATTTTGTCAGCACCCTTTTGAGAGGGAGTGGCTCTGGAAGCAAACTTTACCCCTTTTACTTTTGAGACATTTCCTGCTTGAGGAGACGAATGGATGACTTTAGGTTCCCCTGACCCAACGGGAGGTCTTTTATCACCCTTGGACTGTTGAGAGTTCGTAATGTGTGATACGATACGCCTTTTCGGAGGAGGAGGGGGAAATTTTAAGTCTTTATGTTTCTTTTCTAATTTCTTCTTCTTTTGAACTTGCTTTCCCTTCGGTGGTATGGTGACGAATGTGGATGTTAGGGTTTTCTACAAGGTTCTTTCCAAGGATGGGGTAGGATGATTTGGTTCTTGCTCATCCATATTGTTGCTACGTAGAAATCTTGATGCATTGGAAGATATCCTCCAGGGACTTTGTCTAATGAGCATTTGGGAAATCACGTTTCATTGAATAGAAAATTGTTATGTTAGAAAGCTATACCAAAGAATGGACCCTGATATTTCTCTCTGATGCCTAAGTTAGATGGCAGACAAGTAAATTGTTAAGAATTCCTTATTGCTCTTTTTTAGAACTTACCTTGGTACCATGTCTCTGAAGGTATTTATAGACTTCCTTATATTTTAGG